TTTACCAAATACCATCACCAAACAACACTTTCAATTGTATCCAATTAGGAAGGCTCTTGCACTGCATATTTGAAGGTAAATCTAAAGGAAATTTTTACAGAAATTGGACAGAAAAATTGTAAACGCAAACGCAGAAAAATGCAAAGAAAATAAAAAAATACTTAAAAAACGCTTAAAAAACGTAAGTTTTTAACGCAACTTTTCAGCAGCTACCAGCGTTATTAAAAACGCCCCGTGTGCGTGGAGCCTAAAACCTGCAAGCCGATTGGCACCAGATTCTGCACCTTCCAGTTTGAATAAATTGACCCCAATGATTGGCAAAGCATCATAGACAGTGGTGTTTTTGCTGCCCTAGGCAACACACAAAAATTTTCTGCCCCCACAGACACCAACCAACACAAAAACAAGGGGCCCCCTCCTGCGGAGAAAGCCTGACATTGACCAACAAACACCTCCACCCACGGGAGCCTTCCACTACTCCCCCCCCAGTGATAGAGAGACGCTCATCTTCACAGCTCCGGACATCCCCGGGTACAAGAGTCAGGCTCTACATACACCATCAAGCTGCCCGCAGCCTCACTTGGATCCCACCTGGTTCCCATGGTGTCCCTTCTTTCATCCCTTCTTCTGGGAGGAGGTGCTGCCCCCCTGAAAGATGCCGCCCTAGGCAAGTGCCTTGTTTGCCTTGTGGTAAATACACCACTGATCATAGAGCCGGCATATCACCATGCATTGTAGTAACGTACGGTAGTGCGTGTATTTGCCGTAGCACAGAGATGTGAATAGGCCCCCGAAGGTCACACTGGCTATATCAAGCCTTCACGCCGCCGTAGACCTCAGAAGATCCAAAACGAGCGGCACTCACACACGCCGGATCTCCCCACCCCAGAGCCGAGCCGGATGGTAACTTCACACACTTTCTCTCTTCTGCTGAGTGCGAAGCAAAGTCATCGAGCTTTGAGGAGAGAGAGAAGCGGAACACTTGGACACCTGAAGGTAAATTAAATATTTATAAACACAACAACATCTTTGCAGATGGAATTACTGATTTATTAATAATTTCCATAAAAAGCCAGTGGGTGACATCCACATAAGTCATATCTTCTGCTTTCAGGCATGATTCAGCCCATTAATTCCAGATCTGGATTGGGCGCGTCTGATTCGCTAACAGAAAATTGCCAAAGCCTGACGTTTAAATTAAAGGGGCTGGAGCAACGGAAGGTGACAAAAATGGATTTACACCTTAGGACGGGGGTGGGCAACTGTGGCCCTCCAGCTGTTGGTGAACTACAAGTCCCATCATGCCTCTGCCTTTGGGAGTCATGCTTGTAACTGTCAGTTTTGCAAATGCCTCATGGGACTTGTAGTTCTACAACAGCTGGAGGGCCACAGTTGCCCATCCCTGCCTTAGGAGGCTGCGGAAATTAAAGTTCCTGAAGTCTAAGAAGTTGCTCCAGGCAAATAGGGGATCATGGGGCCCCTGTGTCCTTGCCCACTCTCAAAGCACACCCAGAAAAGCCTATAAAAGGTACCAGGGGCATCTCATGGGGCCCCCATTGCCCGAGTGACCGAATATATATATTCTACACACAGTATGTATATATATATATTTATTTATTCAAATATATTTTGAAATATGTTGAATACGGCCAAAATTGTAGCATTTCAAGTATATGTCACTATATTTGGGAAAAATATTTTTAAAATATGTTTCAAATATATTTTCTTCTATATGGGTTTAAGTGAACAATCTGAAGTTGGAAGCTGATTGGCTGCCATGCACAGCTGCACCAGATTCTGAGCGCTCCAGTTTTAGTAAATCCCCACCAACGTTTCCATCCGCACCCGCCCCCCCCCTCCACACACCCACACCCACCTACAGAAGCCACCAAATCTTGCCAGAGTGCCTAACCCCTCATCACCCCCGTGTTCCCATTACTGCTGCCCTAGGCAATGCTCCAGCCACCAGCAGCATCCAGCCGACATACATGCCCAGGGGCGGACTGACAACTCATGGGGCCCCTGGGCAATAGGGGATCATGGGGCCCCTGTGTCCTTGCCCAAACTCAAAAAAGCCTATGAAAAAGGTACCAGGGGCATCTCATGGGGCCCCCTACTGACCCCGGGCCCTCGAGCAGCGCGCCCGAGTTTCCAAATGGTCAGTCCGCCCCTGTACACGCCCTTAGTGCCCGGAAATACTAGAATGTGAACCGATCAAAAACCAGGTTCTTGTCGAACGGCACAGCCGAGATCGCAGATTGAGCCGAGATGTAAATGACTCGGAGACTCACAATATGGTTTGCAGTTATTTTCTCCGCAATTACATTAACATACTTATGGGTGGTAGGCGAACATTACATGGAAATCGGCGATTCCACTTCATTGATAAGCTGGCTAATAGTCAGTTCCAAATGAAGTTTGGCAGGTTCGCGATCGTTAAAAAAAATCTGAACGGGCTCCCGGGCTCTGATAAAGTTGGGGATAATAGCTTTTTGGGACAACAGAAGACCACAAAGGAAGAGGGGGGGTGGGGGGGTGTTGGGGGGGGGGGGGACTACCAACAAAGCTGAGAATTGCGCTGATTCAGAAAGTGCAAGTTTGCATTTAGTACAAATAGCAGAATTATGCAGAACGATCGTTCTTATTACTAAAATCCATTACGACTCCACGTTTCCATTCCGTCCTCTGAAGGACACTTAATGAAAAGCATCTCTGAATGTCAAAAGCTGATTATTTGACTACTATATCTCTCTGTAAGTGAGGAAAAATGGAGCGAGCGCGCTACTTATGGGTGAAGCTAAATCCACAACGACGCAATAACTGCTGATAAATGAGCGAACAATCACAAAAAAAAACAAAGTAAAGTGAATACTCCGCATAAAACGAGTGCCAAATGTGCGCAATAATATCTACAGGAGAGAATCCGCAGCGGTGTAACCAGTGGGAATGGCGTGATCCAGGGGTGTCCCTAGGGTGGGTGTCACTTGGTGCTCAACACTTGGTGACACCCCCTCCGACGATCCCCGCAGGATGGATGGGATCTGCGGATTGAGTATAATGGATCGGAGTCCGATCCATTATGCTGCCCAATCCGCAGCTCCCATCCATCCTGCAGGGATCGTTGGCATGCAACCTATACGGGGTGACACCGTCTCCAAGAAAAGGTAAGTTGTAAAAAAAAGCCGACAATCCCCGCAGGATGGATCTGATCTGCGGATTGAGCCTAATGGATTGGAATCCGATCCAGTATACTCCCCAATCTGCAGATCTCATCCATCCTGCGGGGATTGTCGGCTTGCTTTAAAACTTACCTTTTTGTAGGAGAGATCAGTTAACCCCGTATAGGTTGCAAGCTGACGATCCCCGCAGGATGGATCGGATCTGCGGATTGAGCATAATGGATCAGAGTCCGATCCATTAAGCTCCCCAATCTGCAGATCCGATCCATCCTACGGGGATCGTCGGCATGCAACCTATACGGGGTGACACCGGACCCGCTCCAAGAAAAGGTAAGTTGTAAAAAAAAGCTGACGATCCCCGCAGGATGGATGAGATCTGCGGATTGAGCATAATGGATTAGAATCCGATCCATTATGCTGCCCAATCCGCAGCTCCCATCCATCCTGCGGGGATTGTCGGCTTGCTTTAAAACTTACCTTTTTGTAGGAGAGATCAGTTAACCCCTATAGGCTGCAAGCTGACGATCCCCGCAGGATGGATGGGAGCTGCGGATTGGGCAGCATAATGGATCGGATTCCAATCCATTATGCTCAATCCACAGATCCGATCCATTATGCTCCCCAATCCGCAGATCCGATCCATCCTGCGAGGATCGTCAGCTTGCAACCTATACGGGGTTAACTGATCTCTCCACAAAAAGGTAAGTTTTAAAGCAAGCCGACAATCCCCGCAGGATGGATGGGATCTGCGGATTGAGCATAATAGTTCAGAGTCCGATCCATTATGCTCAATCTGCAGATCCGATCCATCCTGCGGGGATTGTCGGCTTGCTTTAAAATTCACCTTTTTGTGGAGAGATCAGTTAACCCCGTATAGGTTGCAAGCCGACGATCCCCGCAGGATGGATCGGATCTGCGGATTGGGGAGCATAATGGATCGGATCTGCAGATTGAGCATAATGGATCGGAGTCCGATCTATTATGCGCCCCAATCCACAGAACCCATCCATCCTGCGGGGATCGTTGGCTTGCAACCTATACGGGGTTAAATGATCTCTTCACGAAAAGGTGAATTTTAAAGCAAGCCGACAATCCCCGCAGGATGGATCGGATCTGCGGATTGGGGAGCATGGTGGATCGGACTCTGATCTATTATGCTCAATCCGCAGATCCGATCCATCCTGCGGGGATCGTTGGCTTGCAGCCTATACGGGGTTAACTGATCTCTCCACGAAAAGGTGAATTTTAAAGCAAGCCAACGATCCCCGCAGGATGGATCGGATCTGCGGATTGGGGAGCATAATGGATCGGACTCCAATCCTTTATGCTCATCCGATCCATCTGATCCGTCAGCTTACTATTACACAAAGATAACATGAATAAATACAAAATGCAGTTTTTAAACAATGATTTCATTTATTGAGGGAAAAAAGCTGTCTGGCTCTATATGAAAAGCTGTCTGGCTCTATTGCCCCCCCCCCCCCTTTGCTACATCATTAATGAACTGTGATTAACCACATTTCTTTGGATTTCTGATTACTGACAGACCTGTTGAATCAAGAAATCACTTACATAAAAGATGTCTGACAAAGTGAAGCACGAGTTTCAGAAGGCAGCTATATTCTATATTATTCTATTCTATTTTATTCGATTCTTTTATTTTCTATTCCATTCTATTCTATTTTATTCGATTCTTTTATTTTCTATTCCATTCCATTCTATTTTTTTCTATTCTTTTACTTTCTATTCCATTCCATTCTATTTTATTCTATTCTTTTATTTTCTATTCCATTCTATTTTATTCTATTCTTTTATTTTATATTCTATATGGACAAAATAAAATAAAGGAGAAAAGGCTAAAAAAAGATAATGAATGCAGTCACCGGATTTTTTTTTTTTTTTTTGGGGGGGGGGGGGGGATTTAGATACACTTCAATAAAGAAAACACGGAAAAAGAGAAACAATATAAATGAAACTACGACGCACACACAAGGCCACGGAAAAAAAAAAACGCTTGACTACAGGAAACATGCACTTATGCAGGCTGCAGACGGTTTGAAAATCGGCCGATTTTTTCATCCAAAAAATGAAACATTGTTTGTTCTGTAATCTGATGTTGCCACCAATGATTTCGAAAATCGGTCATTTTTCACGAATTCTGACCGATAAACGAAATGGGTAGGAACTGTGAAAATCGGCCGATGCCATTGCCCACTAACAGTGCGAAAATTGGCCGATTATTCTTTCGAACGAAAAAAATCGGCTGATTTTCGAACCGTCTATGGCCTGCGTTAGGCACACAGGCGCTGAATTTTTAGATGGCGCCCAAGGTCCCCGATTTTGAATGCTGAATTATACACACAAAACCTTGCTGACCGTTTCCATTGATCTTATCCATTCCTTAGTCATTTCCAATCAGGGGTGGACTGACAACTCATGGGGCCCCCGGGCAATAGGGGATCATGGGGCCCCTGTATCCTTGCCCAAATTCAAAAAAGCCTATGAAAAAGGTACCAGGGGCATCTCATGGGGCCCCCTACTGACCCCGGGCCTTTGGGCAGTGCCCGAGTTTCCAAATGGTCAGTCCGCCCCTGTTTCCAATACATCGGGAGGTTGGTTGGTTGGGAAGAAAAAAAAAAAAAAAGAAATGTGACTTTTTTTTTTTCTTTTGAAAATTCATTACCGGAGTAAGCCGAGGGTATTCTCACAAGTGTATTACCTCTCCCGTCTGTTTCTATCTCGGAGTAATTTCTAATCAGAAAAAAAAAAATAAAATGAGAGCCGTTAAGACCGGAGTCATGGTGTGAAGTCTCTTGGAGGTTGGATGGAGGTAATTGTGAGATCATCCACATAATATTTCCTAAGAATGATGTGTCCCCGGGGACTCCGGTTATTGTATGCTCTATTGAATATCTGTTCAGTGCTGGTCACAATGTCTGACCTTGCAGCCGGCTGACTGTTAATTTTCTTTCTAAATCACGGAAAAGAGGGAGTTAAAGATACACTCCAGCCAAACCTGAAGATTAAGCCTTTAAATACAGCTTGGCCGCCAATGGCTCTGGATTTTCACCTAGAGATGGGAACCAGGTCACCCTACTGACCGAAAATGGCCTTCGTTGTGGGTGGTTTGGCATTATGGGACTAGCCGCTCCTAAAGCTGGAAACAGAATAAAATAGAATATACCTGCCTTCTGAAATTCAAACTTCAAAAAGTTATGTGCGTTTATGTTTAGAAGCGTTTTTTAAAGCTATGCACAGGAGAACCTCCCAAATGCCCAGAATGCACTGAAAGGTGGTAGATTATTAACTATTTCAGACTGTTTCAGAGAAATACAGAGAGTAGAAGCAGAGACAGCAGTATGTGTTGAGATTAGGGAAAGGTGTCTGGTGGAGGGAGTCATTAAGGACACCTGGCAGGGGGTCTTCATGAGGAATTTGAGGTGGAAATGGTCATTAACATATCTTTTGTTTCCAAGGGTGGGAGAGGTCTGAGGTGTGAATGGTCATTAACATAGCTTTTGTTTCCAAGGGCGAGAGAGGTCTGAGGTGTGAATAGTCATTAATATATCTTTTGTTTCCAAGGGTGGGAGAGGTCTGAGGTGTGAATTGGTAGTTAACATATCTTTTGTTTCCAAGGGTGGGAGAGGTCTGAGGTGTGAATTGGTAGTTAACATATCTTTTGTTTCCAAGGGTGGGAGAGGTCTGAGGTGTGAATTGGTAGTTAACATATCTTTTCTTTCCAAGGGTGGGAGAGGACTGAGGTGTGAATGGTCATTAACATATCTTTTGTTTCCAAGGGTGGGAAAGGTATCTGGTGGAGGGAGTCATTAAGGCCACCTGGCAGGGGGTGTTCAGGAGGAATTTGAGGTGTGAATGGTCATTAACATATCTTTTGTTTCCAAGGGTGAGAGAGGTCTGAGGTGTGATTGGTCATTAACATATCTTTTATTTCCAAGGGTAGGAGAGGTCTGTGGTGTGAATTGGTCATTAACATATTTTTAGTTTCCAAGGGTGGGAGAGGTCTGAGGTGAGGAATGGTGAATGGTCATCATTAACATATCTTTTGTTTCCAAGGGTGGAAGAGGTCTGAGGTGTGAATTGGTCATTAACATATCTTTTGTTTCCAAGGGTGGGAGAGGTCTGAGGTGTGAATGGTCATTACCATGTGTGACAAGCTTGGTAGGAACATCCTGTGTTCAGTGTTTTGTTCATCTGAGTACATTGAAAACACTTTGCATGCATTTTTCATGATGAAAAAAGGCTCTGGACAGCATCGGGAACTAGAAAAAATTAAAAAAAAAAAATTCAAACACAAACGCTTGTAAACGCGATTTGCTGCGTCTAGCTACGTTTACAAGCATATTGCGTTTGAAACGCTGAGAATATCGACTACTGAACGCAAGTTTTGTGCATTCAAAAAAAAAAGACTGTAAACTCAAATGCCTGTAAACGACTGTAAACAATGATGTGTACACGGACACATAGGAGAACATTAGGGAGAGTTTAGGAGCTGCTGAAAAAAAAATCGCTGAACAGCTTCTAAATGTGAGTTTATCAGCTGCAGTGTACAGGAGCACTTATGCTGAGGTGTGAATTGGTCATTAACATATCTTTTGTTTCCAAGGGTGGGAGAGGTCTAAGGTGTGAATGGTCATTACCATGTGTGACAAGCTTGGTAGGAACATCCTGTGTTCAGTGTTTTGTTCATCTGAGTACATTGAAAACACTTTGCATGCATTTTTCATGATGAAAAAAGGCTCTGGACAGCATCGGGAACTAGAAAAATTAAAAAAAAATTCAAACACAAACGCTTGTAAACGCGATTTGCCGCGTCTAGCTACGTTTACAAGCATATTGCGTTTGAAACGCTGAGAATATCGACTACTGAACGCAAGTTTTGTGCATTCAAAAAAATGACTGTAAACTCAAATGCCTGTAAACGACTGTAAACAACGATGTGTACACGGACACATAGGAGAACATTAGGGAGAGTTTAGGAGCTGCTGAAAAAAATCGCTGAACAGCTTCTAAATGTGATGGTGGTGGTGGGGGGGTGGGGGGGGGTTTTGGGGGGGTGTGGTGGTGGTGTGGGGGGGGGGTTTTTGGGGTGGGGGGGGTGGTTTTGGTGGGGGGTTTTGTGGTGGTGGTGGGGGGGGGGTGGTTGGGGGGGGGTTGGGGGGGGGTGTGTGGGGGGTGGTTTTTTGGTGTTTTGGTGGTGGTTTTGGTGGTGGTGGTGGTGGTGTTGTGGGGGTGGGTGGTGTGGTGGTGGTGTGTGTTGGGTGGGGGGGGGGGGGGTAGTATTTAGGAAATGGAGCCCCACACCTGATTAAACAAAGATAAAGGTCTCATCAGCTACATAATATCGTTTATGCGCGCAAAATAGCGGCCGGCCTTGTTCAGCAAACGAAAAGAAATGTCAAATCATTTCATTTCCGTTCACCTCGACAAATACTGCATGTATGTTAACAAGATGATTCAAAAGCATTTCCCAATGAGGCTGTAATGAGCCCATTTTCAATGCACATCAAAAAGATTCTGCTCGAGCTAAACGACTTCCACTCACACCAGTAATGATATGCAGTGGTACTCCGGCAGAACTCCTAAGATCTATCCTCTACATATATAGTACGGAGGTGCCGAGTGACGGCGCAGGAAACCGACTACTATAAACAGCGCTCTATAACCAAGCTTAATGCAGAGCGGATGAGAGGGACCAAAAAGGACAGCCTTCAAAAAGATCGACCGTTGAAACTCTATGGAAACCCCAACAATAAACCTTTTTTTATTTGCTCTATTTTTGTCTGTTAAAGCTGGACGCTAGGAAGATCCAAATGACCCAAATGAGAGAAGTCAGAGATTATACCAAAAGGAGGGGCAACAGACCGAATTCTAAAACCGCCTGACTGATTCGGAAGGCCCTCTAATGCGTTTTGACCGAAAGCCAGGCAGATATAAACAACCCAAATGAGAGAAATCAGAGATTATACCAAAAGGAGGGGCACCAGACCGAATTCTAAAACCGCTTGAATGATTCGTAAGACCCTCCAATGAGTTTTGACTCAAAGCCAGGCAGATATAAAGGACCCAAATGAGTGAAGTCAGAGCTTATGCCAATAAAAGGGGCACCAGACCGAATTCTAACACCCATTTGAATGATTCACAAGACCCTCCAACGAGTTTTTGGGGAAAAAAATGACCCAGCAAATGTAAAAATAGTCATCTACTTTCTGGCTCTGACCCCTGCAGATTACCACCTTCTGATCCAACGTTGGTCCTCTTCCGGGATGAATGACGCTCGGTGGGTCTCCTCATATACGAGGAGTTGGGTCCACTTCCGGGATGAATGACGCTCAGTATCCTCATATACAAGGAGTTCGATCCTCTTCGGGGATGAATGACGCTCGGTATCCTCATATACAAGGAGTTGGGTCCTCTTCCGGGATGAATGACGCTCAGTATCCTCATATACAAGGAGTTGGATCCTCTTGGGGATGAATGACGCTCGGTATCCTCATATACAAGGAGTTGGGTCCTCTTCCGGGATGAATGACGCTCAGTATCCTCATATACAAGGAGTTCGGTCCTCTTCCGGGATGAATGTCACTCAGTATCCTCATATGCAAGGAGTTGGGTCCTCTTCCGGGACGAATGTCGTTCAGTATCCTCATATACAAGGAGTTGGGTCCTCTTCCGGGATGAATGACGCTCGGTATCTTTATATACAAGGAGTTGGGTCCTCTTCCGGGATGAATGATGCTCAGTATCCCATATACAAGGAGTTGGGTCCACTTCTGGGATGAATGACGCTCGGTACCCTCATATACAAGGAGTTGGGTCCTCTTCCGGGATGAATGACGCTTAGTACCCTCATATACAAGGAGTTGGGTCCTCTTCTGGGACGAATGTTGCTCAGTATCCTCATATACAAGGAGTTGGGTCCTCTTCCAGGATGAATGACGCTCGGTATCTCATATACAAGCAGTTGGGTCCTCTTCCGGGACGAATGACGCTCGGTATCCTCATATACAAGGAGCTGGGTCCTCTTCCGGGATGAATGGCGCTCGGTATCCTCATATACAAGGAGATGGGTCCTCTTTCGGGATGAATGACGCTTGGTATCTTTATATACAAGGAGTTGGGTCCTCTTCCGGGATGAATGACGCTCAGTATCCTCATATACAAGGAGATGGGTCCTCTTCCGGGATGAATGACGCTTGGTATCTTTATATACAAGGAGTTGGGTCCTCTTCCGGGATGAATGACGCTCAGTATCCTCATATGCAAGGAGTTGGGTCCTCTTCCGGGACGAATGTTGCTCAGTATCCTCATATACAAGGAGTTGGTTCCTCTTCCAGGACGAATGTCATTCAATATCCTCATATACAAGGAGTTGGGTCCTCTTCCGGGATGATGACGCTCAGTATCCTCATATACAAGGAGTTGGGTCCTCTTCCGGGATGAATGTCACTCAGTATCCTCATATACAAGGAGTTGGGTCCTCTTCCGGGATGATGACGCTCAGTGTCCTCATATACAAGGAGTTGGGTCCTCTTCCGGGACGAATGTCGCTCAGTGCCCTCATATACAAGGAGGTTCATTTAAAGGGGACCAGGAGCTCCTCACAGAGACTTTGTTACTAGTCCATGAAGAGACTGTTGCCACTCTGGAGGGAGTAGAATGTCCAGAATCCCAGAGTTATTGTTGTAATCAAGTTGTAGCATCCCATATTCCCCTAGACCAGGGGCGGACTGACAACTCATGGGGCCCCCAGGCAATAGGGGATCACGGGGCCCCTGTGTCCTTGCCCAAACTCAAAAAAGCCTATGAAAAAGGTACCAGGGGCATCTCATGGGGCCCCCTACTGACCTCGAGCCCTCGGGCAGTGCCCGAGTTTCCAAATGGTCAGTCCGCCCCTGCCCTAGACCCTATCCAAATTGTTTAACCCCAAATAAAACAACAAAAAACAAGCCAATGGACTGGTTACTGACTCTGCGTGAAAGTTGGAAAATGCGTGTTGCCTGGCTGTGCAGGAACAAATCCAGCGGCTCTCAAGGTGGTGGTGGGGGAGGGGGGATTGGGTACCGCTACACTCACTTTTCTAGTTACAAATAAAACATTGAAACAAGACTACAATTTGTTTCTTGCGGCATTAGATGGTTTTCGGGTCCCGGAACGCACCGTTCTACAAAGATACAGCCACTTGAGCTGTAAGAGTTACAGAGTGAGAGGGCTTCATATCATCTACCTCCAAACAAATGAAAAGGGAATTATTTGGAGTTCTAAATAGCTCGGCAGTAATAAAAAGTTATGGAGTTTCCAGCCTGAGCTCGTATCGCCGTACCTCCTAGAATATTCTTGTTACTGTAATTGCAATAGATTAAGCGTCTCTGTGGTTTACAGCTTTAGAACGTACATTACACCCGGCTTTTCCTTTTTGGGATCTATTATCATCTTGTTAGCAATGCTGTAAGTCACACGCAATAGGCGAGGAGGCCTTCTAATGAGAACGCAGATAAAAAGGATAGAAACGCATTGTCTAGAACCCTACGGCCAGGGGGCCACATGCGGCCCTTCAGTCGTGTAGCCCTCATGCCTCAGCGGCATTCACTGGTTTTCTTGGTTAAGTCTGTACTCAGAAACAGTGAAGGAAATATTGATTAGACGGTACATGCAGAGGCGTCCCTCGGGTTGGTGTCACCCGGTGACACTTGGTGACACCCCCTCCGACGATCCCCGCAGGATGGATGGGATCTGCGGATTGAGCATAATGGATCGGAGTCCGATCCATTATGCTCCCCAATCCGCAGATCCCATCCATCCTGCGGGGATCGTCGGCATGCAACCTATACGGGGTGACACCGGACCCGCTCCACGAAAGGGTAAGCTGTAAAGAAAGCCGACGATCCCCACAGGATGGTTCGGATCTGCGGATTGAGCATAATGGTTCGGAGTCCGATCCATTATGCTCAATCCGCAGATCAGATCCATCCTGTGGGGATTGTCAGAGGGGTGTCAGCAGCAAGTGTCACCGCACCGGGTGAGACCAACCCTAGGGACGCCTCTGCATGTACCGCCTGAGAGCGACCCATTCTTTCACCAATGTTTGTAGAAGCAGTCTGCATGACCTGAATCACATGATTTGGAGGGGATTGGAACACCTGAATCACATGATGTGGAGGGGATTGGAACACCTGAATCACATGATGTGGAGGGGATTGGAACACCTGAATCACATGATGTGGAAGGGATTGGAACACCTGAATCACATGATATGGAGGGGGTTAGAACACCTGAATCACATGATATGGAGGGGATTGGAACACCTGAATCACATGATATGGAGGGGATCGGAACACCTGAATCACATGATATGGAGGGGATTAGAACACCTGAATCACATGATATGGATGGGATCGGAACACCTGAATCACATGATGTGGAGGGTATTAGAACACCTGAATCACATGATATAGAGGGGATCGGAACACCTGAATCACATGATGTGGAGGGGATTAGAACACCTGAATCACATGATATGGAGGGGATCGGAAACACCTGAATCACATGATATGGAGGGGATTAGAACACCTGAATCACTTGATATGGAGGGGATTAGAACACCTGAATCACATGATATGGAGGGGATTAGAACACCTGAATCACATGATATGGAGGGGATTAGAACACCTGAATCACATGATATGGAGGGGATTGGAACACCTGAATCACATGATATGGAGGGAATTGGAACACCTGAATCACATGATATGGAGGGGATTAGAACACCTGAATCACATGATATGGAGGGGATTAGAACACCTGAATCACATGATATAGAGGGGATTGGAACACCTGAATCCAACGATTTGGAAGGCGGTCCCAATACTTCTGGCAGTATAGTGCGTGTCATTTTTCATTTTGCCCATAGCTCCACGTTAAGCCGCCACAACCTCCGGAGAGTGTTTTTCTCCCACATAGGAATGACTGTGAACTCCGTCTGCCTCCCTATTAGTTAGCACATTGCTCCGGCGTGGATCCTGACGGCCTGGTTAGGATTCGAGTCACAGAGCGAAGCTGTACATCACCGCGGCTGCTCTTCGGGAATATTTTTTCTCATTCTTTTTTTTTTTTATTTCTAATCTTCAGAGGTAGAAATCCTTGTTTACTGTTCCATTCCTCAGAGATAAAAGGCAGAGGTGAGATGAACTTGATTAAATCTCCTACTTGAAAACTGACCAAGATAAGACGCCGGCGAGGGCCTACATTTTGATATTAAGAAATGAACGACGGCTTAATATGATCGGGAAAAGTGACGTCTGAATAAAGAGCGCCAGATGAAATCAGAGAGAAAAAAGGAGCTCGGCCCTTATTCAGTGCGGGGGGGGGGGGGGGGGAGAGAAGGCTCGGTATGCGCCTGCGCGGGAAAGGACCTTCTGAGTTCAGCGGTGGAATCCAAGAGAACATTGCATCCCTATGGGGTGGTCCACCCAAGACTGATTGTTCAGTGTTTGGTAGATGGTGGCTTCAGATGATACACAGAGATGAAATAGCTCCTCCTACATGAGTTGTACCTGTTTGTGATGGGAGTGACTTTGGGTGGGGGGCCCCTGGAACACAGCTCATGTTGGAGGGGTGGGGAGACCCCTGTCTCAGCTCCCCATATCCCTCCTATGTGTAAGTCACCCTGTGCCTGTTAGGGGTACATGGTGGAATGTCCTGATATTGTATAGACATGTATAGGTGGGGTGTGGGGGGTTCATTGTTTACTGCCATGTGGTGCATCCCATTGTTCTATTGTGTCTTGCTTGGGAGCAAACTATTATGGGATGTATGTGTTTGTGTATTGGCTTGGTGGGGGGTGTCTGCTGATGTGTTTCTTGTTGCTAGATTTGGTTTGCTTCGCCCTGTGTCCTTATGCAGGGAGGGGAGAAGTGTTCCCTTGAATGTATATATCTTGTGTCTGTGTTAAAATAAAGCAGTCTATTTCCTGGTTTCGCTCAAGAGTGGTGTCCGTGGATCTGTGTTCGGACAGGGAAGCGGGAGTCTAACAGAATATACCCTAGTGCAGTCGGGTCCGGTTCCGCTACACTGTTTATCTCAGATGATACACAGAGATGAAACAGCTCCTCCTGCATAAGTTGTACCTGTTTGTGACGGGAGTGACGGGAGGGGGGCCCATGGAACACAGCTCACGTTAGAGGGGTGAGGAAACCCCTTTCTAAGCTCCCCATATCCCTCCTATGTGTAAGTCACCCTGTGCCTGTTAGGGGTACAGGGTGGAAGGTCCTGATATTGTATAGACATGTATAGGTGGGGTGTGGGGGTTGTTCATTGTCTACTGCCATGTGGTGCATCCCATTGTTCTATTGTGTGTCTTGCTTGGGAGCAAACTATTATGGGATGTATGTGTTTGTGTATTGGCTTGGTGGGGGGTGTCTGCCGAAGTGTCTCTGGTTGCTAGATTTGGTTTGCCCCGCCCTGTGTCCAAATGCAGGGAGGGGGGTTGTTCTCTTGAATGTTTATATCTTGTGTCTGTGTTACAATAAAGCAGTCTATTTCCTGATTTTACTTCAAGTGGTGTCCGTGGATCGGTGTTCGGACAGGGAAGCGGGAGTCTAATGAAATACCCTAGTGCAGTCGGGGTCCGGTTCCGTTACACTGTTTATCTCAGATGATACACAGAGATGAAACAGCTCCTCCTACATAAGTTGTACATGTTTATCTCAGACAATATGCAGAGATGAAACGGATCCTCCTACATAAGTTGTACCTGTTTATCTCAGATGATACACAGAGATGAAACGGATCCTCCTACATAAGTTGTACCTGTTTATCTACGATGATACACAGAGATTAAACAGATCCTCCTACATAAGTTGTACCTGTTTATCTGCAGTATTCTCTTCTCTACATCTGTCTACATCTCTACATAGGGTCCCCTACTGACCCCAGGCCCTGGGGCAGTGCCCGGGTGCCCAAATGGTCAGTCCGCCCCTGCCCGGGAATAAGAGTCAGGCTCTGCATATACCATCAAGAAGCCCGCAGCCTCTCTCAGATCCCACCTGGTCCCTGTGCTGCATGTGTCCCTCACTGTGTGTAGCACTCACAGGTCTTGTCCCTCCCACAACCTGTGATTGGACAGAAGAAGCAGCAGACCAATCAGCTTGTCTCTCTATTACTTGGTCCAGGGGCGGACTGACAACTCATGGGGCCCCCGAGCAATAGGGGATCATGGGGCCCCTGTGTCTTCACCCACACTCAAACCACACCCAAAAAAGCCTATGAAAGGTACCAGGGGCATCTCATGGGGCCCCCCTACTGACCCCGGGCCCTCAAGCAGTCCGCCCCTGCCCGGGAATAAGGGTCGGGCTCTGCATACACCATCATGCAGCCTGCAGCCTCTCTCAGATCCCACCTGGTCCCCGTGCTGTGTGTGTCCCTTCTTCCATCCCTTCTTTCGGGAGGCGGTGCTGCCTCCCTGAAAAATGCCACCCTAGGCAAATGCCTTGTTTGCCTTGTTGTAATACACCCCTGTATGTAAGGCCGGCATAACTATGTAACCAGGGGCAGACTGACAACTCATGGGGCCCCCAGGCAAAAGGGGATCATGGGGCCCCTGTGTCCTCGCCCACACTCAAACCACACCCAAAAAAGCCTATGAAAGGTACCAGGGGCATCTCATGGGGTCCCCTGCCCGGGAATAAGAGTCAGGCTCTGCATACACCATCGAGCAGCCCGCAGCCTCTCTCAGATCCCATGTGGTCCCCATGGTGTGTGTGTCCCTTCTTCCATCCCTTCTTTCGGGGGGCAGTGCTGCCTCCCTGAAAAAATGCCACCCTAGGCAAATGCCTTGTTTGCCTTGTGGTAAATACACCCCTGCATGCAGGGGTGGACTGACAACTCATGGGGCCCCCGGGAAATAGGGGCATCTCATGGGGTCCCCTACCGACCCCGGGCCCTCGGGCAGTGCCCGAGTTTCCAAATGGTCAGTCCGCCCCTGCCTGCATGTAATTATGCAACAAGAGATTGATACATGTCTAATTCAGGTACATATACTGCTCATATTAATAACAAAGAACAATGAATGAACCCAGAGCTGCCTTCATTTGTATCTTTTATATCTGCCTGGAGTTCAGAGAAGCCAGAAAAACAAACACAAATACGGCAAAACAACGCGAAGACACGTCCTATCCGTGGTAGCCGACGTTAATTGAATTTCAGGTGGATATATTATTACTAAATCCAAGAACGCACTTGAAAATAAACTAGAGCCCATCAGATGGAATGTAACGGGAAGACGGCGGTGTTGTATAATAAAAAAAAAAAAAAAAAAAAAAGGAAGAAAAAATGGCTTGGCAGTTTTTTTGTTTGCAGAGTGACAGATCATCCGGAGAGTCGCAGTGAGCGGCGACGGCGGCAGGGGCTAAAAGATTGCCGTAGTTCAGACTTGTCAGGATGAGCGGCGAGGAAGTGTGATAGAAGGAGCTCTTGAAGGGGCCCTTATACAGGAATAACAGTGATGAAGAAGACAGTTATGCATAGAAATGGAGGAGAAATAGGGAATCGCTCTGATGAAGAGGGTATCTTTGACGCCGGATTTAACACCCATCTCACCCACAACAATCTGACCTTTACCGTTCAATGAATATTTAAGACGGAAGAAGCTGTGGAGACTGAATGAAACCAAACTTATTTCTCTCCATACGTGAAAATGCGGGAAAAAAATAAGTTGAGGAAGAATGGTTTAAAGGAAAGATGACGCCACGGAGGAGACTTTATAGAGAGGACTCGAGTGAGAGCCAAAGGGTGCCATTCACTGGGAAGTACGCTGCCTGCTTGTACAGCTTGTCCAGCGCCCCTCAAGTTCCAATGGCTAACCTAATGATGGCACTTTCTCAGGTGATCCTCAGTTCTATCACCGCCCCTCAAGTCTCACCTATGGCTATCCTAATGATGGCACTTTCTCAGGTGATCCTCAGTTCTATCACCGCCCCTAAAGTCTCACCAATGGCTATCTTAACGATGAAACCTTTTCAGCTGGTCCTCGGTCCTATCAGCACCCCTCAAGTCACACCTATGGCTAACCTAATGATGGCACTTTCTCAGGTGGTCCTCAGTTCTCTAACCGCCTCTCAAGTCCCACCTATGGCTATCTTAATGATGAAACCTTTTCAGCTGGTCCTCGGTCCTATTAGCACCCCTCAAGTCACACCTATGGCTATCTCAATGATGGCACTTTCTCAGGTGGTCCTCAGTTCTTTCACCCCACCTCAAGTCCCACCTATGGCTATCTTAATGATTAAATGTTTTCAGCTGGTCCTTGGTTCTATTAGTACCCCTCAAGTTCCACCTATGGCTATCCTAATGATGGCACTTTCTCAGGTGGTCCTCAGTTCTATCACCACCCCTCAAGTCCCACCTATGGCTATCCAATGATGGCACTTTCTCAGGTGGTCCTCAGTTCTATCACCACCCCTCAAGTCCCACCTATGGCTATCCTAATGATGGCACTTTCTCAGGTGGTCCTCAGTTCTTTCACCCCACCTCAAGTCCCACCTATGGCTATCTTAATGAGGGCACTTTCTCAGGTAGTCCTCAGTTCTATCACTGCCCCTCAAGTCCCACCTATGGCTATCCTAATGATGGCACTTTCTCAGGTGGTCCTCAGTTCTATCACTGCCCCTCAAGTCCCACCTATGGCTATCCTAATGATGGCACTTTCTCAGGTGGTCCTCAGTTTTATCATCACCCCTCAAGTCCCACCTATGGCTATCTTAATGATGAAACATTTTGAGTGGTCTTTGGTTCTATCAGCACCCCTCAAGCCCCTCCAATGGCTATCCTACTGACGGCACTTTCTCAGGTGGTTCTCAGTTCTTTCACCACCCCTCAAATCCCACCTATAGC